GGGGGGGGGTTAGAGGAAAGTTACTAAAGGTAGAGTGCAATACCTAGAGAGGAGGGCTCCGAGAAGTGGACAAAGGTCAAGGTTGATCGAACTATTATAAAAGTCAGGTGTACTCGTTTCTTTTACTCACATTTTTATTTCTCTCAATTTCATTTCATGTATATTATTTTTCTAAAATCTGAGATGAAAATACTGTGATAATTATGGATTATATTCTATTAATAAGAAATAAATAAAAATTAAACAAAAAATTGAAATTCAAAAGGAACAAAAATTATTTTCTATTCAAGCGAAAATATCCTTTTAATCTTTAATATTTGCTTTCGCTTGTGTATTTGAGTTTGACATCATTTTTAAAGTGAAAATTTAAGGGGTAAATTTTTTAAATAATCAATTCACACCCCTCTTGGTGTGCCTAGAGCAGTTCGACGAGGTCTAATAATCTCTCTTGAACTTTTAGAGATGAGGATGCTCATGTGGATGACTGGCTTTACTCTTAGAGACATGATACAAAATGAGCATATATGTGAAAATGTTGGAGTAGCTCCTATGGTAGATAAGATTAGAGAGAGTCTCCTTAGAAGGTTTGGTCATATAAAATGACGACCTTTCGATGATCTAGTAAAGATAGTAGATGTATTAGACTTGACTTATGTTAAGAAAGGTAGAGATAGACCTAAAAAGACTGGTTAGAGAATATTAGAAATGTTATTTCTTTATTATATTTAAATAAAAATTTGACTCTTAGTAGGACATAATGGAGAAAAAAGATTCATGTAGCCAACCCACATAGTGGGATAAATATTTGATGATGTTATTGTTGTTGTAAACTATGCTAATTTATGTTTAAATTTATAAACATTATTATATTTAATAATTAAGTAATGTATTTAAATTATTAATATTAAATATATAATATATTAAATTTAACTTTTACTTTAATTTAATAAAAATAATTAAAAATTTAATAAAATATTAAAATTCCAATCTAGTATAAAGTTGATAAAAAAAGAAAATAATATTAAATGATAAAGTTCACGATAACTCTAATGAAATATTAAAATTTTAGGTTTTAGATATGCAAAATAGCATAAAGTAAAGTGGTATGTATGTAAATTTTTTGGGGGGATTTATATACATACTATTTTATTTCATGTTAAAAAAAATATTTTATTTCATGCTATTAACATATATAACATCTAAAACTTTAATATTATATGCCTACCACATATAAAATAAATATAGGTGTATAAAATAAAATATTAAAATTTATAGGGTGATATGAGTGGTAAGAATGAAAAATAGAAAATGCATATTTTATATTAAAGTTTTATATAAATGATAGTTATAAAATATTAAAATTTTAATGTTAGATATGTAAATAAAATAAAGTGGTGTGAATATAATTTTTTTTACTCATTTTCAAGCCGCCTCTTATTACAAGCTTACTATAAAAGGCCGAAAACCTGTTCCTGGCCTACGCACTACACTCTGCCTCCATGTCCATGGACGCCGACATCGAGCGGGTTCTTTGGACCGCGGAGGAGATCGCCGACCGTATCTCCGCGCTCGGAGCCCAGATCTCCAAGGACTTCCGGCGATTCCCGTCTCCCGTCATCGTAGTCGGCGTCGCCACCGGCGCTTTTCTCTTCCTTGCTGACATCGTCCGCCAGATTACTCTTCCAATCGCGGTAGATTTCATCCGCGCTGAGTCCTACGGCTCTGGAACAAACTCAAATGGCGCTCCCATCATCTCCTGTGACCTGAAGCTCGATATCAACGAAAAGCACGTAATTTTGGTGAGTTTATGATAAATTTGGTTGCTTAAAGTCTTCTTTTTTAGGTGGGTGAGTTATAAACCTCTGTGGATAAAATTTATGATGGAGAATATATTAACTGCTGGACCAGAGATCCGTTCAGTTGTTGCTTAAAGTTGGGAAACAATGTTTAGGGCATCTCCAACGGAGAACTCTATTTTTCAGGCCAAAATACCGCAAAACCCAAAAATGGCGTGGTGTTGCTCCAATCGAACGCCATTTTTTTGTTTATGCGCAAAGGTAACGATCCTTCTCCTTTGACGCGTTTTTCCGGTTGAGAGAGCAAAATAGCGTGATATTGGCGTTGCACTGTTCACCCAAAAGCAAATGGCGGACATTTTGGCGTTCGGCTGGAGCGACCGAACGACGCCAAACGCTCGTTTGGCGTTCGGTTGGAGATGGTCTAAACCAGTTGAAACTTTCAAATCTATCACGTAGTTTTTTTTTTGTTATTAAAAACATCAATGATTTCATACTACCTAAAGTTCAATTCTTGCAAAATGTAATGATTTTATTTTCATACACAAAATAAGTTAAAAATAAAATCATCATTTTCTAAAGTCCATTCTGCTCTGCATGCAATATAATGAGTTTTAGTGGCAGTTTGGTTGGCAGATGTTAGTATATTGATTCGGTGAGATCTTAAATAGTTATCTCATTAATTGCATTCATGTCATATTTTGATGACATTTTAATTTAGATAAAATTTACCGTTAACTGATGGTTAAAATAAATTACTATGAAATAAAAAGAATCAAAATCATTATTGATCCCCTTAACTAATATTAAATTGTTGTAAGGTAATATTGAACCAAACATAATTTATATGATGGAAGATATTATTATTTAAATACAGCCATTATTTTGACAGCACTAATATCTTTTTTTTTTTTAAGAGAAGCCTAAGCTTAATAATTAAAAAGAAAGAAAAGCAACTACAAAGATGATTCCTCCTTCAATTTGTTAAAATAGAAGGAAGAACCTTATTCAAAGAGAACTCATCCCAACCAAAACTAAACAAAGCATAGTTAGCACACAAGTTTGCTAACTCATTGTTCACACGACCTATACAATTGAAAATGACGAAGTTGAAATTCTGTAAAAAATCCATACCCTCATCCGTTTGTGCTTTTTTAAGATAGTAAATGATATTATAGTTGTCTCCTTCAATGATGATGCCTTTATATTTGAACATCCAATCCTTTATCTCATATTTTAAGGAATGAATAGCTAATAGTTCCAGCTGAGCTATGTCCCAATGAGTGCACGGTCTACCATAGGCATAAAGAAATCTCCCTTTGCAGCCCCGGAAAACTGCTGCTATCCCTGCTTTGTAGGAAGCAAGTATGGATGCATCTACATTTACCTTTAACCATTTGGGTGGGGGAGGATGCCAATTATTGGACAGTCTTGATGACTGGTTGACAACCCAAATGCCCAAATTATATTGACTAAAGCTGTAAGAAACCGAAGATTGGCATATGGCATTAGAAGCTATAAAGACTTTCCTCCACTCCTTCATGTATGAATTTATTTCTGCTTTTTCAAGACAGGAACACTGTGTTGCAATACAAGTTAACCACCATTCCTTTCTTCTTTGAACTGGATTCCAGCCAATTAATGCAGTGTTCAATATTATCAAATAGTGGAATGCAAAATCCCCATTGGTTCAGATGGAATAAAACCTCTTTGAGTTTCAAACATAAACACATGATATGTTCAGTCTTCCGTGGAATTACATCCTCTTGGACAGTTAACATGATCAATTAATCTTCTATAAGATAAGAATTTAAGCGTTGGGATTGCATTTCTACAAAGTTTCCACCAAAATACTTCCACCCTGGCATTTAGCTTAACTTTTTTTATCCAATTCCATAATTGGATATCATTATTCTCTATAACAAAGGCTTTATAAGCTAGGCCGATAATAGACATACCAGAATTTTGATGAATCAACTCCATATAATCCTCTCCACCATCTTTAATAATTTTAGTTTGAATGATCAATTCAACAAGCTCCTTCCCAAATGATTACAACAGCATATTTTCATTCCAGTGTCCATCAATAATGAATTTGTTTGAAAAAGCCATTTCTTCTTCTTGAGGAACAACAAACGTAGGCCATCTTTGAATACTTTTATCTAATAACCAAATGTCTTTGTAAGCATCCACTTTATCTCCATTCATAAGAGTCCATCTAACTATTGGTTTCAGCATTTTGAATCCTTCGGTTAACAATTTGTAAGATGATGAGCCAACCATTCTCCCATTTCCCTTATCCAACTTTTCTCCATATTTAGTGACCATAAGCTTGTTTAAAAGTGAATTTTTATTTTGATAAAATTTCCATGCCAGCCGTGCTTTCAAAGCTGGTGATTTTTTGCTGTTAGAATGCATTCCACGGCCACCTTTGTCCAAACGTTTGCACATTTCTGACCAACAGATATAATGCAATCCTCTAACACCATTCTTCTTATTCCAGATAAAGTTTCTGCTTATTTTATCAAGCTCATCCAACACTCTCTTAGGAACCAAGGAATGAGTAGCATGAAATGTTGGTAAAGCTAGAAGAATTGATTTAACAAGGGTCATTTTACCCGATAATGACAGCATTTTGTTTCCCCATTAATTAAGCTTCTTCAAGGCATTTTCAATGATAAATTGAAAATCTTTGGGGCTGTTTGGTTGCCTGCAAAGTAAACGCAATGTAAACTAAATACAGTGTAAAGTAAATGTAGTGCATTCCAAATACTCTGAGGCTGTTTGGTTGTCTGCAAAGTAAACACAGGAGAAATATTTCCCTTGTTTGGTTAGATATATCTAGAGTAAAGTAAAAACAGTGCATTTGTAATATTGTTTTGTCATTATAATTTATATATTTATAAAAGTAATCACTGATTGTTTAAACTTCGTTTGGGATAGCTTTCTTCTTGCTTTCTAAAACAGCTTTTCAGTACAAAAATTAACTAAAAAACTGTTGTAAAAAATAATATGAAAGTTGTTCCAAACTTTTATCTCAAGAGAAGAAAGGATTTATGTTCTTTTTAAGCAAGAAAGAAGAAGATCAAGAAAAAGAAGGAAGACGAGGAAGGAAAAGAAGATGAAGAGAAGGTAGAGGAGATTACCAAAACCCAAACGACAAATGGGTCTCGACTCAAACAAGGTTATTTAGAAGCATTCTTAAGCATGTAAATAAAAATATTATTGTTTTTAGGCAAATGCCATTACAACTCTGTTCTCATTACTTTCCACTCAAACTCCTCACATTCAAAAATAGCATTAATTTCATGAGCTCTCCTCTGATAAAAATCAAAATTGAGATTGTTAGCATGGGAACTAAAGCTACTGTTTCGCATGGATGGGCCTACAACATTCTTTTATCCTACAAAAGAAGCGTTGGTTCGTTAACTTCTATTTAATATCAAAGACAGCAGTTAAATAATAATTTATAAAGGCCATGAAAGTCCAATTTTGATGAACCAAGATGATGCTAGTTTTTGACAGTCCAAATAAAATATAATAAAAAAATCATAATAACCATTGATCTTTGACAGTCCATATGACAACGAAGTCTGCTTTTCATCCTCGAAGAAGAATTGAATCAGAAAAATTTCAGTTAAAAAAAACGAGTAGGAGAACTCAAAAGCTTGACCTTTATAACCAGAGTTCGGAAAGAGAATATCTCTGGAGCATCAATGCCATTGAAATAAGCCTTCACCTCCAGTATCCCTGACCTCGCAGCCTCCGGCGCAATGAAAGCGGTGATGATCGCAGCAAACATCGTCAGAACCAGATTTAAAGCTGCAAATACTCCAAATTCCCAGAGATAACTACCACAAATACAATATACATCGAAGCAATCGATTCAAAGAAGTAAAAATAAGATTTTAAGAAGATAAAAGCAAGGAAATCAATCATCTTGTACCTGTTGGCAAGCATCATGTTGGATGTGACGATGAACTTAACGCTTGCGATGTTCTCGATAGCGAGGTTGAAGAAAAACCCAACGCAGTCGGACAACACGTCGATTATGAAGCAGAGGACCCATTTGAGAATCAAGTCCCCGAAGAACTCGACCCGCCGGTCATTGCGCGCACACAAGTCCTGGTTTAGCAGCTCGTTCTCGGCGATCCTTCATGTCTCATCTACCCTAATAGGAATTTATACAATATAATGGTTTAAGCTAATTATTATTCCTAATGAATTCACTATTAACTACTAATCAAATTATAAGTGGATTCACATCATATTAAGTGGCATGTAAACAAATTAATCGATTCCATTTCTTTACATTTACACTATCTATACGTGTTCAATACCCTTGATTTCTCAGCAATCATTGATGCAAAATTCGTTTCAAGTTAAGATGTTTTATTTCAAAAAGACACATGCAATTAAGCATCAGAAAATCTATAAAATTAACCTTCTTTTCTGCTGCAACAACAAGAAATCTTCATCTGCAAGCTTTCTGACCGATAAGAAGATGTGCCTGTTTGCGAAACTTGCAGGTTATTAATGCTTGGGCACCTCGTATCAACCCCAAATCCTCTCTGGATCCTTAAATCTCATCCTGTCCTCCTTCTACCTCTCTCGGGTCCATTCCAGGAACATGAATGATTGCTCAGCGCCGAAGCCGCCTCCATAGTCCTCTAGATCCCCGCTATCAAAAAGCGTCACAAAAAAGGAAAGAAATATCTACAACAAGAACGATACCTCTTTATCCCGGTTTCCTTCAGCTTCTATTATCCGCTGCAGATCTAAAATCAGAACCCAGCACCCTACACCTAACCACATTAAATTTATTCAAAATTCAAATGAAACCCCCGATTTCGACCAAATGAGAATAACGATCAATTCAAAGCCGAATCCATAGAGTGAAAAAGAAATGCCTCAAATCCAATGAAGAATCCGCATAGGCTCTACAAGATAGAACATATCAGTTCGGCGCACTATAAAAGACAGAAGGAGACGACCCGGGATAGGTGGAGCGGACGAAGTAGGTGGCAGGCGGAGAGGGAAGAGTACTCAAAGTTGAGGCTTTCGATGGGGCAGACGTGTGAGCCGACGAGGGCGAGCTGGGAGGTTGATTTGGAGATAGTGCAGTTGTGTTTGGCGAGCAGGGGATTCGTTTCATCGATGGTGGCGTTGATCGCCATTGTCGTGGATAACAGAGGATCAGAAACTATCTCCGACGATACTTCTTATCTGCTACATAGTGGATGTAGTGGGCTGGTATGAATACTGAACAGGGGAGCTCGTCGAGATTCGGGCATTACCCGGCATCGAACCCTGAAATTGCAGCTGGATCCTCCGCCGCCGTCTTGAAGAAATTGCCGGCTACGACAACTGTCTCATGCGCGGCGAACCAGGACGGTTTTGCGGAACTAGGCGAAGCACACCAAGCAGCTACGATGCGGGAACGTTAGTGCCATCGCAGGACTGGAGAAGAGAGCAAGGAAAAACGGAGAAAAATGGAGAGTATAGGTAAAGCTTCGGCGAAATCATCCCGTAACAGACTTCAAAGAATTTCTAACCCGCTTAATTTGAGCGGGTTTCAAAGTCGCGCGAATTGCCTCTCCTAATACCCCGCTAATGCTTTGGAGGTATTCCGTTCCTTCCGCTCAAAATTAACCAAACAGACAAATTTAGTAAAAACATGTAATTATTTTACTTTACCCTCCTAATTCAGGCAACCAAACAGCCCCTTTATATTTAAGTCTTCTCAAAACAATCTTCAAGCCAAGATAGTTGAATTCTTTAACAGCCTTGAATCCCATGATTCTCTTGATGCTTTTTTTCTTCTTTTTTCCCACATAGTTACCGAACATCATAGCAGATTTGTTCAAGTTGATTCGTTGGCCAGTCCAATCACAAAAACTATGAAGTATTTTCTTCACTTCTATAACTTTCTTCTTATTAGCTTCAGAGAACATGATAACGTCGTCAGCGTACAGTAAATGAGATATTCTAGGCCCATTCGAACTGATTTTGATGCCACAAGAACTTTGTTCAAAAGCATTTGAGAGAAGTTGAGAGCAAAGTATAAAAAGGATAGGAGATAGGGGACAACCTTGTCTAAACCTGCTTTTGGCTTGAATCCAGTTAGTGTATTTGCCATTGATGATAATAGAATATTTTGGGTCTTCTACACACTCCATGATGAGATGAGAAATTTTTGGAGGGAAGTTGAAGTATGTAATCACTTTCTTTAAAGAAGACCAAGTCATGGAATCATAAGCTTGTTCCATATCGACTTTAAAGGATACTAGACCCTTAGAGGCCTTGGAATACGTTAGTTTATGAAAAATCTCCTGTGCCAACAGAACATGGTTCGACAATGACCTCCCCTTAATGAATGCAGCTTGTTCCATTGAGATTAGTTTTGGGATAACTAAAACCAATCTATTCAATATAATCCTTGCCGCTACTTTGTACACAGTGTTACATAGACTAATCGGTCTATAATCAGAAGTGAGCATAGGATTTAATACCTTTGGGATAAGAACTATTAGAGTCTCCTTCCATTCTTTGTTTAATTCACCATTGCTGAAAAACTGATTTAGAGCCATCCAAAAATCAGTTTTGATGATCCCCCAATAGGTTTTAATGAAGGCGTTTGTGACTCCATCATTACCTGGAGCTGTATTACCTTCCATTTGATCCAGAGCATCTTCCATTTCTTTCCAAGTCAGTTCGGCTTCAAGGAGGTTATGTTCTTCTGTATCAACACAAGAATTCACTGCCAGCCAGCAATCCAATTTACAATTTCTTCCCTCCCATTTTTTCTGAAAAAAATGTAAGAAAATCTCTTCCATTTTGTCTTGTTCTTCCACTATCATTCCATGTTCATTCTTAATTTTGATGATTTTGTTGGCGTTTCTTTTAGCACTAGCGTAAGAATGGAAAAAATTTGAATTTTGATCTTCCTCCTTTAGCCACTTAATTTTGGCTCTTTACTTCCACTAAGAATTTAATCTAGCCATAGTAGAATTAAGCTCATTCACCTTATCTTTGAGACTCCAATATTCGAATTCAGAGAGAGTTCCATGTGCTGCTTCCTTGTTTTGAAGATCCATGATCTCATTCAAAAGATCATCATTAAGCTTGTTCAAATTCTTAAGCTTAGATTATCCTTGAAGTAGAGATAGCACTATTATCTGATAACATTGAATCAAACATCCTTGCTTCACTTTTTGGGGTTTCCTTGTTATTCGTTAAAATTGTCACAAGTCTGGTTTCCAAGAGTGGAAGATTATTTATCTTGTTAATTATGGATTAAATTTGAATTTCTATTAGTTTATCCATGTTTACATTAGGTTGTATTGAAAATAGTAATCTTATAAAGTTGGAATTTTGTCTGCCTATTATTAATTAAAAAGTATCCATCTTGTTTTTCAAAATTTCAACCATTCAGTATTTCCATTCTTACATTAGACTAGTCCAAGTCAAACTGAAAATACTTATTCATTTGTATTTTTCTTTTTAACTTGTAAACCTGCTGTGCTCTGTAAGATGATCTTTTTTATGTTTGTATTTGATGTAGTGATATAATAGCTGGTAGAAATAGCTTTTGACAGGATTCAGATTTGAACAATTTATTGTGTTACATTTATAGTTTGTTTAACGCCATGTTTCACTCATTCGGTGCTATTTATTATCAGTTTGCTTGTTATAAAATATTTTTTTGTACTAAGAGATGTAATGATAAAATCAAAATCGTATCTTGGGCTCATTTGGTAGCTTGGAGATTAAAACGTGTTTCGAAATATGGTAGAATTTGTTAATTGTCATTTTCATTGGATATAATTAGAAAATATTTGCTTAAAAAGTTTGCAAATCTACACAAAACTGTAATATAACGATCTTATTTTCACATATAAAATAAGTGAAAAGGAAATCAAAATTTCAAATCATGATTTCTTCTTTTAAATCAAATCAACCCTCAGGAATAGAATTTTTACCATTCCAATACCAACTTCCATTTTCTTGAGCTGCAATTATTATAAATCAATTGTAGTTTTTTTTTTTACTTTTTAAATGCATATATAAACTTGATTTCTATATTTAGCTCATTTTTTCATTGTTTATGGTTTGAGTCCAAAGGACAATAAATCAGACGTCTAATATGCTTCAGCCTATTGACATCTTTATTGGAAATATTGTTGAAGAAATTAAATTCATAGGAAGATGTTTTTGTTGTTAATTTGCTACATTATTCAGAAGAAGAACAACAACAACATCAAGCCTTTGTCCCTCTACGTCGGGGCGACTACATGAATCCTTTTTCTCCATAGTGTTATGTTAAAAGTCAAATTCTTGTTTAAATCTAATAAAGAATTTTAGAGACTTAAATATAGTGCTTAAAAAACACGAAATGAATCACCCCCTTATGGGCATTCTTTTAAATGCTATTTACTTACAATTTGCCTGCCTCATCTCTCAGTTAATTTTTTGATTTGATTCAGGATCTAATGTCTATAGGTTGATACTTTTGAAGGTTGAAGATATTGTAGAGAGTGGTGCCACACTGTCCTGCCTCATTTCACACTTAAAGTCTAAAGGAGCATGCTCTATATCAGTTTGCACTTTACTAGATAAGCCTGCAAGAAGGAGAGTTCATTTTGAGCTTGTTGGTGATGGAAAATTTTACTGTGGATTTGAGGTATGATATCCTATGGAATAAATCTCCAAAATTAGTACCTACTAGCTCTCTTGTGAAATATGGGTAGCATGCTCATAATTTTGATGTTTGCGGGATGCATAATTTTCCTATCTAGATTCATATCAACTTTACCAGTAGTGTATGACTCTCGTCTCTCTAATCCTCATTCGGCATTATTGCATTAGCCTTGTTAATTAATAATAATATTCGTCTTTAGAGTTGAATTTTTTGAATGTTCAATAGTTGGTTGTGAAACCAATTGAAATATGAAATGATATACCAAGGGGATAGTGAATTGATGTTTTTAAAAACTTTTTAAATACTTTTAAACTAAAAACCAAAATTAAATTCATTACGGAAGCGATCAAAATTCACAATGTCAACAAAAAACAAATACAAATTTTTGTTTTTCTAATTTTCTGATTTTTTTTTTGAATCCACTTCGATCATTCACAATGATAGTCAAACACAAACCAAATTGCAGAAAATAAGATATGTAGGAAAGTAAACACTGTAGAAAGTAAATGCTAAAAATAAAAGAGCCCAAATTAAATTTTTATTCTGGTTCGGTCAACTTTACTCTCCTTCGGGTATTGTACTAAATAATTGTTACTCTCCTTCAGCCCCATCGGCTAGGTGAAGAAGCCCTTACAAAATCCCTTTCACTAACTTAGTGCGATAGAGTAGTCGAAATCCCTTTCACCTCCTTGATACGGCAGAGTAACTGAAAGCTCTTTCACCTTCTCGGTGTGGCGAAGAGATGAAATTCCTTTCACCTCCGTGATGCGGTGGAGAGTCGAAATCCCTTTCACCTCTTAGGTGCGGCGCAGAGCCGAAATCTATTTTAGCTTTTTAGTCCGGTGGAGTTGCTGACCATATTTGGACTTGAAGTCTTCATCCATAAAGCTTCCCTCAAGACAAACAAAGATACAATAGGATAACTTCTGGTGCTGATTAGTCGTAGCAACCATGTGAAAAACCCCTTTCATACTTTCTTCAAACCCTTAAGACTATTCTCACTCTCTCACAGTCTCACGCTCGCTCACATTTGCTCAAAGCTCTCTCTTTAAGTTCTTTCAAGAAGAAACAAGCTATTTAGTATGATTTATAAAATAAAAAATAAAAAATAGACGACCCAAGATAGCCAAATATTATTCAAAATAAATTAAAAAGAGTTTAAATAGTGGGCTTCTAAAATAAAATTTTTTCAATTCTGCCAACTCTATTCGTACAATATAATTTTATGATCATACAGTACATTTAGTTCAACACCGCCATAAATCATTCTGTATAATTATAAATCATACAATATGATTAGCTTAAATCAAATATCGAATCGTACAAGATGAATAACAGTACATGCAGAGAGTCGTCAGGTGTTTCATATAGTATGATACATAATCATTTAGTACGATTTCCCATCAACATAGATTCGATTTGATTCATTAATCCCTAGACTTAAGTTAGGCAATATTATTAAAGATCATACAATATAAATAGGTTTGTACAGTATGAACAATTCAATTTTTAAATTTTAAATTTGGCTATTTTAAGTAAGTTAGATTCGAACGATAGGTTTTTTGATAATAGTTGATCGTTCTGTATGATATGTTGTTCGTACGATATGATTAGTTATAATTCAAATTTATTTTTCTCAACAACAACAATAACAACAAGCCTTTATCCCACTATGTGGGGACGGCTAAATGAATCTTTTTCTCCATTGTGTCATGTTAAGAGTCAAATTCTCATCTAAATCTAATAAAGAAAGGTCAGTTCTAATATTTTCTAATCAAATTTTTTTAGGTCTACCTCTAATTTTCTTAATATAAGTCAAATCTAATCCATCTACTTTCTTAACCAGGTCATTAGAAGGCTGCTGTTTTATGTGACCAAACCATCTAAGGCGACTCTCTCTAATCTGAATTTCCACTAAGCTACTACAACCTTTTCACGTATATGCTCATTTTGTATCCTATCTTTAAGAGGAAAGCACTCATCCACCTGAGCATCCTCATCACTATAAATAACACTTAACTTAATATCATGCTTCTCTTTTAATGGCCAACATTCTGCACCATAAAGCATTACATGTCTCATTATCATCTTATAGAATTTCCCGTTATGTTTGAGAGAGATTTTTCAACCTTGCAACAAGCCCAATGTACTGATCGTACAGTATGATATAGATTGATCTTTATGATTAACAAAAAAATTAAAATAATTTTTTTTTTTCATTTCTCCTTGTATGTTTGCATGGTTTCTAAGCTAATATACACCTTTTACATACATTGACTCAAGAAAAATAAAATTATAGATTTTTCACGTAAGTCTAACCTTTACAACCATTTCTTGAGCTCTGACTCTCAGACGATGCTTTGTGTATGTTGAACCTGAAGTTTTTGTGCTGCAAATAGAAAAATATGCATTATATAAAATAGAAGAAATTAAATAATCATTGAATAATATTTATAATTATCAAAACACAAGGTCACGTTCTCGGATTGTAACAATCTCTGCTTATTTGATGATGACAAACATTATTGGCTGAAATTGCAATTTAATTTTAATTTTATGCTAAGTTCTCCCCTTATTAAGTGATTCCTTTAAAATAAGGAGATTTTTTTAGTTTTACTTTAATTTTTTTAATGAGCAAATAACATATGAACATAAACATAAAAAATAAAATCATAACAAACACTGAAAAATAAGTAATACAAACCGCTCTAATAAAAGCAAACCAGTACAACCTATAGATTCCATATTCTCTCTTTTTGCATCACCAAAAAGGAGAACTAAATACAACAATACAGATCAAACACAAATAAAATACAAGCACACTACAAAGATCAAACTACACTTCACCTTATACTCTACACATAGGAGGGACCCTGATCAGGTGGTAGGGTATTGGCCGGATGTAGCGGTGAATGGAGGCAAATTGATTACTAAAACATACACAATCAGCCTCTTGCTGCTGCTGCATCTGCTCCCAAAATTGAGTGGACTATTTAATGTGTGTATTAACCTCAGAACTAACCGGGCAAAATATTTCATGCCTTACAAGGGTACTGGTACTCAATACGTGGAGCTGGTTGTTCTTGTGCTCCCCTTGCTTCTACTTCTTTCTCTGAATAAGATGCATCTACTGGGGCCCTATGGCGCTCACTTTAGATAATGTGAAAGAAATTGTCTGTGAAGAAAGTAGGTAGGTGGTCTAGTAGTGCTGGGAATGTCAAATTGTATTTGGTTTCTAGAATATAGCCAATGAAATGTCTTATGGCTAAGTTCTATTTTTTATGGGCTCACAGAGTTCTAATAAAAGTGAGGTTTTCTATGTATCAAATGATCATATTAAAAGCATTAAATATCATGCCAGACATACACTATTAAGTGAGTAAGGGTAATAAAGGAGTGATATTTATGTGGTCACTGACTTTGAGAATAACACTATTCCGGAGAACGTGCTAAATGGAACTTGCATTAAAGACTAGAGAACTCACTAAAGGTTGATGTTGTGGTAGGAGAGAGTTCCTAATTGTTGTATTGATAGTAGTCCAATTAAAGTGTAAGGATCTTGAAATAAAATGTGGGGATGTGAAAGATTTTTCTGAATCAGAATTTTGGTGTCTGTGATGGAGGCTCATCTATATTGAGTTTAAGCATTCTTATCCTCCTTACATTGAAATCTATCATCCACCCTTCAATGGGAATCTAATTAAGTATGCTTTGGGGTTATGGAAATTGACTAGGAGAGTATATCTTTAGAAGGAAGTGAGTTTTAAACTTTGAGGTGTGAAGACAATGAATGGATTACCCTCCTTTTTTAGCTCTAGTCAATTATATAGTATGATTGGTAGATCATACAATACGATTAAGTCCATTCAAAAGGTTCATCGGGAATGTACAATCAAAGGTCAAATAGTATAATATGATTGGGGGTCCTCTTATACGATTGATGTAATTTCGATCGTCATGATGAGTCGTTGGTACGACTGTTAACTAAAATAGATCGTACAATACGATGAAATATTTGTACAATACAAATAACAATAATTGATTCTCCAGAGCATTTAATATGACAATTATTGTTGTGTAACGGTTGAAATTTACATGTATCGTATATGATGATTGGTGTATCGTACAATACGATGAGTGTATCGTATAATACAATGTGAAAAAAGTTAACATGAGTGATGATTAGAGATAAATCCATAATAAAAACATATACACAAACAATAAAATTGGATTATGCATTGTAGGAGCGAGAGCATAAAGTGAAAGGTCTTCAAATATCCTAATAACAGAGTTGTTAGTAGAAGTTAGAGGAAGTTTTTTGCACCGACAACACCGATAGGACCTACTCCAGTGATGCCAAATGTTTACAACTTATGATATTTAGAAGATTGATAGCAACCTGAGAGTTTTATTGGTAAGAAATTTATTTGAATGATTGAATGCCGCATTTCATACATAAGTGAATGACATATGATAGAATGAATTGTATGATTGTATGGTTATATGATTTGATGAGATTTTAATTTGATTTGAGTTTTGACCGTATGACTTTGTTTTATATTGATTATTGTCCCCAAATCCTTAAAGGAAATGACAAGGATGACAAATTTTTAGGGTGGGTAGATTATAATAATCCAAATTTCTGAAAATAATGGAAAATGGAAAAATCTGAATTCCTGTTTGAATTGCAATGCAATGGAGAAAAAGGGAGAAATCTAATTTTTAGCGGTTACATTGCTTTGTAGCTTTTGTAGGAATTGCTCAGATTATTGTAGGTGATTATAATCATATATCTGGTTTTAAAGATTTTGATTTTAACCGTTTGATTCTCCCTAGAACTGTTTTTATTGCATTTTTCCCAGTTTTATTGAACTTTTATTGCACAACTTTGTTTATTTTATCGTACTGATTGTCCTGGATATTTTGAATGTACCATTTATTGAATTTCACTGGGTAAAACTAAAGTTGCTGTATTTTGTATT